GAATGACTGCTCCCGCCTGGGTGAGGTGGAAGGGAGTGTCAGACTCTTACTGACTAAAAACCACCCCGTTCCTTCTCCTGCACGTCGAGCCGGAGCCCCGGTTACCCGTTAGGTTCTCCGCGACACCCTTTATAGACTAGATTGCGGTTGGTACTTGGTTGGTCTTAACTCATTTTTTTAAACAAATTTTAACCCGATAAGTATGTTATACTTACTTTTAGAACTGATCGCCAGATATTGTGGTCCTCTGACTACTCACTACAAATATTAATCTTAGTTTACCTATTATATCGTATGACGGGGGTCTGCTCAACTACAACAATAAGTACGTAGGTACCTAAAGAATTATAATAGCAAATAACAAGAACTAAAATTTACACGAACGCGATAGTTGCTCATTGATAAATTTACTGTATACGATAAGAAAGCGATAAAATTGTTTCTCCAGAAGTCACCATGGAAACTATACTTGCAAATAAGTTTTACATTTATTATCTTATTTTTACATATTTTTATTATTTTATTTATCTTTAGTTGACTTCATCCGCCATTTTGTTGTATTTGTTTGTTAACCTGAGCCTTGAAGTTGTTACAAAATTATGAATACTAGTTTTAATACATTTTAGGTTTCAGTATTCAGTATAAACGTTTATTACTATGTACTTACCTATATAGAAATTAAGATAAGAAATTCTTTATGTACCTTTGCAGATTTTGTCTTCCTTTAACTGCAAAACTTGCGTCGTATATAAGAGAAACATTTCAATAATTCAATTATATGAGCGCATTTACTGGAGAGAACAATAACAATTAACTTATCTTTATAATTTATTGCGAATATGTGGTATAATGCGGTTTTATCGGCTAATAATAGGGAGCGAGGCGAGTGTTTGCTCTGCGTTTGACGTCAGGCACTCACTCGTACAATCAAACATAACATGCGTATAAGTGCTCATAGCTACATGGTACAACTCTTATTAGTTCTGAAGATGATTTTGTAATAAGTAAATTTATTCAGATTCACCATTTCCTTATGGTAAATTATTTCATTTAAATCAACCCTGCTTCATTACAATAGCAATACTTTGAGAGGTGGAAATAGCTGAACATATTTTAAATAATACTAATAATATACGAGGACAGAATAACTTAGACCTGGTCTTGTTCTAATCCGTGTGAAAATTATGTAATTATATATCCTAGTTAAATAATAATGAAATCGTTGGCCTGAACATATTGTAACATATTAATAATTTACAGAAACAGGATAATTCAGGCCTGTAACACGTCTCTTGAAAACGAGAGGTTTTCGATATACTTATTTTTAGGACTGCCTCGTTGGTCGAGTGGTCGTAAGTGCGAATGCCAGGCAAGAGGTCTCTTTGGGTGCAATTTCCGGGTCGGGCAAAGTATTACTGGGTTTTTTTTTAATTCTCAGTAGTAGCACGGAGTCTGGAACTGTGCCCGGTATATGGCAATAGGCTCACCCCCTATATTACATGGGACTCATAACATTAATAGTGAAAAGTGGGTGTCACATTGTACAGAGGCATTACCCTGTAGAATTTGCACCTCTGCTTACCCCTTCGGGGATAAAAGGCGTGATGTTATGTTATGTTCTGTGTAACTCATTGATAGTAATCCTGGCGGCGTAGGTATCGCCGTGTCGTAGCATGCTGCCTATATACTGCTACCTCAATAAAATAATGTAAAAAGTCAAGGAGTTTGAATGCATTAAATCCTACTAATATTATTTTGTTATAATTTGTATGTTTGTTTTTACGCCTTCATGTCGAAACGGTCAAAGGGAGCTAGATGAAATTCGGAACAGGGGTAGATTATGATCTGAGCCACGGCTTTTTTATCCAATGGCAACGCGGAAGAAGCCGTTGGCAGAAGCTAGTTATTATATGTAAATGAGTTAATTGAGTAAATCTGCTACAGTCTCTAAGTCTATAAAACATAATACGATGGAATCACTCTTATAATGTTGTATGTAGGTATGGGTCTGATTGTATAATTTTTTTAATCTGTCATGTTTAAAAACAGTAGGATTATATTGTAAGTAATTAGCATGATATCATTATCATTATTCACCATCATAAGCAGCATACAAACGCAACAAAGGTCTACTATTGTCATGAATAATATAGATTACAAAATCCCACTTTGCGGCTATGACAACATAATTCTATCATCAATCTGACAGGATTATGTCAACAGCTCCTCATGTAAACACCTTAGATAAAAACAGCTGTTACAAAATCCGATATTCTGGTTTAGGGTTCACTAAGAGGAAAATAAAACAAAATTTAATTATCTAGATAACAATATATTTTTGTCATCAACGACAAACTTAACAACAGACTACAACATAGATCTTCTCAACGAAACACCTGCGCGAAGTTTGAACATCACCTAAATACCTGTGAAATGTTTACCAACACATTGAGATTAGCTGGGGTCCAATATACATACAATACTTCCACGTCGACCTCGTAGCATCCAAGGACGAAAGAAATGCAAAATAAATGGACGGCTCATAAAATTTAGGATTAAATAGATTGCCAACCACGTGAGGCACTGCGGGATTTAAGGCGATGTATACGCCTATTATATATACCTAACTGTAATAGGCAGGTATTGTAGGCGCATTCAAAACATACTGCTGCAAGCTGTTGGTAAACAAATCTACAAACAAAACATTCAGCAGGTCCGCGAAATCATTACCACAACAACATATAAACACATTATGTAACCTAAAATAGTTTGTAGTTAAAATAATCTCTTATTCCCTACTTTAAATTGCTTTTGGTTTTGACGTGTTTAATACGTACATAAATGATGAATTGACTCAAATAGGAGGCTGGTCGGTCACAGCCCGCCTCAACATACTCGTACATGACCGCTTAAGTGTAATCATAAAAACTTATTGGTACTAAATACAATTAGGTATAAGTTTAAAATTAACTATAATTATTCGTACAAAATATATTTATTTCAGTGCATTTCTGCTCATTATTTTTTTGTGGGTAAAACAGTAATCTGGATGTCTTTCCATGTGACACAACTTGACCTATTCACAAGGTGTTCTCAAGGTTACTATTACAATACTTCTGCCGCCATCGTGTACAACGTGAGAGTATACAACTTTAATACAGATAAATATTTGAATATGCAATTTATTGTAACTATACAACCAAAGTATATGTCAATCATGATCGAACCTTAACATTAGAAGCGTATTGAGTGAGATTAGCGATCGATAAACTGTAAGTAAGTGCAGACACGCCCGGTGCCAGCACCGACAGAGGTGGATGTCACCGTCCGTCGCCTGCCTTACCTTATACTGTACACGCCTAGTGGGGGAATGTAAAATGCTTTTGGCACTAACTTCAATAAATATTTATAATAATTTTATATTACAATACATTCAAATTTGATATTTACAGCTTATGAGTAGATACGGATATATAAATATATTTACAAGGATCGCTTGTTGATACAATAAGGGTAATGAGGTTCAGTATAGCTTGTTACATTTATACAAATAGTACATAGTCAGTAATGTGGAACGTGTACAATATCTACAGCTGTAGCTGTCCGTTACAATAAAAGCTCTAGCAACACTCACATCGATACACCGGTGACGGGAACAGCGCGACATCACGCTGCGCCCGCTCCTCACTTCGTACTCACTGCGCACTCACTGCGCACTCACTGCGCGCTCACTGCGCACTCAGTGCGCGCTCACTGCGCACTCACTACGCACTCACTCGAACGACACTCGTCACCGAGTGGCCGCCGCGTGATGTCTTGTTACATCGACACCAAACACTGTTTATTGGTTCTAACATCTAACATATTGATTATATTGCACACATTCACTTAATTCTATGTATAATATCCATATGTGAGTGGGCTAAAATCCCTCTCCGCCATAATTTCGTAAACTCACCGCTTAACTACCTGATGGAATGACATGTTTGACGCACCTTCTATGTGACACTCGCTAAGCAAACTATACGAAGCTTTATCGAAGACGAACTCAATTAAAACCTAGAGGTTTATGCGTTAAAATTAAAATAGAGCTGACCTATTCAAAAATGGATTTTCTTCGAAATGGCATACACGTGTGATCTCAAACGAATGGTTTTTAATAGGAAATAAAAAAGTCGGTCTCATTTTTAATATAAAATGTATGAATAATAGTAAAGCCGACATAATGTAGTAGAAGCAATGAGGCAACCGACTAAACCATAGTATAATGAGCTTGCTTAGGACTGCGCCGCGTCGGGCCGCGCTGCACGGCAGAGTGGCGATGTGCCGACCGGAAGCACTCTACACGAACTCTAGTGACAACTACTGATGGGAACATGACTCTGAACTCGAGGACGATTCTTTACTTGAAACATGATATCTTCTCGTAGCACCGTTGCCGATCCATTAAATTTTAGCACGATTTAAATGAAATTCGAAAGATCTATGTTATCGTCATTTTTTTACAACTCTAGTTCTATTAAATTAGTCGCGGAATTTTTCGATTTCTCTAATTTTTAAAAATTGTGATTTTAAAATTTGTGAATTTTAAGATGAACTTATAGTAACGGTAAAAGTAGGAGATTCTCTTTTATAAAATTCAGTCGCCGCCTACTGGTAAAATCGGATTAATAGCTACTCTCCTAGAAAACTTTTTAAAAAATTTCAGCACTCCCGAAGCGTCCGTCGCGGGACGGACGCATCTCGGTCTCGAGCGATTTCATCCAAAACCTTTCGGGCGGTGCGGAGTAGTGTTCGTAAGTAGTGTTCCGTCGCTCCGGACGGCTGCGTCATGTCGCGATGTCGCCTCCCTGTGCCATGCGGGTCGTACACTCGTACCTGTCGCGGCGCGTCACGCGGTGCGGCGCGCACGGCCGGTGCTCAGAAGAGCATGTGGCAGCGCAGGTTGGAGTTGGCTATTCCGTGGTGTGCGCGGTGAGGTCGGCCCGCGCCGCCGCGCTGCCCTGCGCGGCCGGCGGGTCGCTGGCGGGGAGGGACAGTAGATGTTAGGCCTCCAAAAAAATCAGCGCGGTTGGCTTCGGCTCCAGATTGGATTTCTTTGCTTCAACAACCAGGAACTCGATCTCCTGTGAACATTTGGCGTTATACATTACATAAACTTGGCTTGTTCATGAACATAAAGTATGATATCTTTACTACACAACGAAGTGGAAGATGGCTTTACAAAAAAATACTCACCGGTTTGTCCCTTTGTGCAAAGGACTCCGCTATCAACCGCGCTACATCTTGATGTTGGAGACCCTCCACGCGATGTCCGTCCACCGCGAGGATCAACTGGCCCACTTCTAACCCACCAGCTTCATAAGCAGCTCCGTGCTCCTGAAAATACATTTCAACATTTAGGTTATTTTTTAATCTGCTATGAACCTATTTTAGTAGACTGGAATTTGATGAGTCAGTATTAGAGAGAGTTTATTGAGAACTTACATGAATGTTGATAATTCTGGGCAGCGGGTGCTTGGTGTTGGCACCGCCTTCGATGGCGATGCCGAGGATGGGCTTGGTCTTCTTGACGGTGATGTGCAGGTTGCCATGGTGGTCAGGCACGACCCGCGCCGCGCGCGCCTCGTCCGGCAGGTCGCCGTGCTGCAGTCGCTGCATCGACTGGTGCCGCCGGATGCCACCCCGCTCCTCCAACAACGCACCACTATCCTCTTTCATGTCGAAACTTCGTGACAAATTGTGTGCTAACTCCTATAAAAAGTTAACACTTTACCATAGAGCATCATTTTGAATGATTGCTTTCTAGGCGGCAATAAGTCACTTAGATTCTTGTACTTAATATATATATATATTATTTGTAGGTAAGATAAGATATTAAAATTATTGATATGCCTTCAATACCTGAACCCTAATAACTAATTGTACACATCCACACTAATACTGTTACTCTACTATGCTAATAAATAGCAAATTCAATTCAGCCTCTAAGTACAATTTGGTGCTCTAAGAATATTGAGGAGACGTGTAGCTGGGCGGCAGAGGGCAGTAACTCAGCGACGTGGTACAGGCGAGTGGCGGCGCGCGGGCCGCTGACTGCTGGCTAGATACAGGTAGACTTGATTTACGACCTTGTGCCTCTCAGTTACAATATGTACAGTGAGTAGTATACGTCGAATGTATTGAGAAGCTGTAAGTGAGATGTGTGCTAGAGGCTTGGATTCATGCGGTTCAATCACTCGGTGGCGTGGTCAAGTGGGTATATTTTACAAGTGTTACAATGTAGTATGGAGAGAGTTCTTATCCCGTTTACCTACCTGAGTAGGCCAATTAAGTTACAGCAAGAAAAAACAGCACAGACCAACTCAATACGAATAAACGAAAATGCAGAAAACAAATAAAATTTTGTCTATAAACCAAAAATAAGGTCGTCTCTGTCCTGTTATGCTTTTACGCCACCATGCTCTAATTTAAATAATAAATTATTGATAAAACACAAAAGAAATGGAATTGAATTTATAAAAACTATAGATACTGGACTTTACTGAAGTAAATTAAATTGAGGACTTGTGACATGATCACTTGTTTTACTAAATTTTCATGCAGTACGTTAGCTCGATCAATTCAAGACAATATTACATAGTACCTCTACAGGCTAAATGAAATAACCGGAATGATAAATTAAATCACTGATTTATGTGCGTTACTACTTCGAAATAAATTTATGGGTCAAATAAAAAATATTTACTAAAAAATTAACACCGAAATGAAGTGCAACGACAAGAGAAGTGAAAACATACAATAATTAAGTAATTCACTAACACCAAGCAATCGTTTTGAACTCGAAGCAAGAACTTCCAATAAAAAATTAAGACTCTTTTAATTTCGTGCAAATGTAAGATCGTTAATGTGCTAGGACAGTTTGCTGGTCATTCCGGCGGCGACAGGCCGGGCCACTTACTAGAGGTCGTCCCCAGTACCATGATTTTACTTTCTGCGTCCAGCCACCGAGTGATGAGCGCAGCCCCTCGAGATAGCCGCACTGAAACATCACACTCACTCAGGACCAGAACATCCTCCCTCCGACATCTAACATCCGACATGTCGTGACTCCTAACTCCCTGAGTTTGCCACACAGCGACCCGCTTGTGTTCTTTGTCGTGTACAATGTTCAAGTGACTGTTAAGCATCTAGCAAAAACATAGCCGAAGACAGGTACGCTATGGATTCAATGGGACGTATCCTACTTAATAGATTTACAGTTCAATTTGATGCGGTTATACTACTAAGTAGGTTCTCAAAACACGTACAAATAAATAATCTGTATAGGTACCTACTCGTACAAGGTGTAATCATAACATCTATATTGAGTAAGTATAGTTTATCTATCAAACAGGTTAAAAAATGCTATAAAAATTAGCAAATACTACTGTTGCTAGCTATCTACAGAATATTAATTAGGTAATATATGTAAAGGTGAAATTATTTGCCAAGCCTTAATAAACATTATTTACTAACCCTTTATTACTCTGTATTGTTTGGATTATAACATGGTCTTATACACTGCACGCTGTCTCAATAAAAAATAAATATTTTTTACGATTCTGCAGTTTTAGTAAAAATACATACCTGATCCTACACGTGAGATTGGTTGGGTAGCATGAAACAAAAATGGTAAGATGTTATCAGTGTCGGTATAGCGCCAACCAAGCATTAGCGCACTGAGCAACTTTCAAGTCATGCAACAATTTTGTCCCATTGTGTGTTATTGTGTGGCTCGTCGCGTTAACTTTCCATCAATTGTGTTGTTTCGGATCTGTCAACGAATTCAGTGTTGGTTCATAGAAAAGTCTTCAGTATTCGGAAAAGAATAGTTCTTTTGTTTTTTGTAGCGGTGCTTACATACTTACGTAATATTTAGGTATTGTTTGAAGATAATCATTTTGTTACGTCACATTTCTACCTACCACCTATGTTACACTTGTCTAATTTATTATCTGTTTCGTAAGCATGTGGTTTTATATGATGTTCACTAAATTTAACTAAATTTTCCCTGTAACAAACCCATGGTATCTCCTAGCATTATCGTAGCAACACGTAGAAAACACAAAGCGCTTAGTTTGTCATAACGAGATTATTTCTCACAAATGTAGCGTGTATCTAGGGGCCGTATCTAGAAGCAGGCGCGACATGGTGCGTCTCGTTAGTGTCTTCTATAAATAATGAGATAACATCGGCCGAAGTCGTCCGACACGCGCCCGATCCGATGCGATGTACGACGCAGGCCGCCAATACAAGCAGCCGAACCACTAACCCATACTACACGTATAGCCAGTATTATCGGGCATCTACACACAATCCCATTCCAGAGAAGATAACTATTTGATGTAACCTAAGACATATTTGTAATAGCAGAATATTATCTCAGTCACAAATAAATTTGAATTGACAAAAGCTATAAACATCGACAACCGTAATTAGGATTTCGAAAACATGTGGCAAAATATTTCAGTAAAGTTTTGACGTTTTATTCATACAAAATAACTCAGGTTGTTTGATACTATCGTAAGCGAATTCTTTGGTTTTTATAAGCTTTAATATTTTATTTAGTTAGTGTATAGAGAAGGCCTAGTATGTCGACCGCCATTGAGCTATTGCATATTATCTTGTGGTCCTTTTGGATTAAGAATCAGATATACACTGCCTCGTTAAACTTGCCTGCCTCCACATATAATTTACCTTGTATATTATGTAAATATAACTTATAACCAGCGCTTGTTTCAGATGTCGTGACTGCACGCATGAACGAATATTTTTAAATATTTTTTATAAGTACTTTGCTTTGACCTTTTCCGTGGTTTTATTGTATATGCACGTTTACATATTATTATTATAATCTTAATTCGTAATCGTACGTAACATGTACGTACATGTACAGAACAAATGTATGAAGTCCGTTACAAATGGAGGGTACACACACATTACGAGTTGAAAGTTTTTGGGACGTGACGTTTACGGCTCTTTGGGAGTTATTACTCCAAATTAAGTGACTTGTTGGTTTAGTGCTCGTAAGCGTGACTGTTCAGCACAAGGTCGAAGTTCCATTCGGATAAGCACAACTTTATTGACTAATTAATGAATTTATTAAAATGTTTTCTTAATATTAGACTGATGATTATGATTGTTATTAAGAACTGTGAACTAGTAAGAACTTTCTAGGTACATTATCTATTTGTCAGGTAAAACTGGATTGTGCTGAGGGCACCTTAAACTGTCAAACACCAAGCGGTCACCGGTGACCGCGACCTATTGTTCTTTAATTGTGTCTATAAAACCGGTACTCGACGAGTTAAAATATGTCACATAATATTGATTATGACTTAGGAAATAGCTAGGTATCAAATGAAGTATGAAATATTTCTATAAGCACTTGTCATCCCGTTGTTCATTCAACTATATACATAGTTGTAAAATGCTCTAGCTGAAGGCATAGGCTTACGATACCAGTATTAGCTACGACTTAAGAGTTCAGTCACTTTCGTCACAATAGTAGAAGATTATTAACTATAAACGTCCAAATACAAACCGTTAGATTATAAATTGTAAAGATAACCACGAACCACGATATTCTCGAATAATGCTCAGTCATATCTAGTCAGTTGTAATTACAAAGGAAACCTCCGTATCAATGTTCCAAATCGCGATATCCGTTAGATATTTATGTAAAAAGTAGAATTAAATTTATCCATTAGATAACGTGTTGTACGGGCCAACGGCAATATATGAAGCTGGTGTTACCGTTGGATCTGTGCCAGACGAAAACTGAACAACTCTATATGTTGGTAAACTTCTTTATCTGCTAACATGAATAGTAATTGCCAATTAAACCGTAGTTACATGTGTTCGCCACAAATATTAATACTACACTGAATAGTAATAGTGCTAGTTCTTGTCACGTTCGAGCTTTCTAGTGTCAAATCATTAGTAAATATCCTGCCTGGCTAAGCTTAATACCTAATTAATTGTTTACTGATAATAAATTTGAAATTTATTATTTCCTTTCTAATGTTTCCTATTAAATGTTGTTTTTGTATAAAATTTAATTAGTAGAAAACACGTAAAAACTTAATGTGTGATTTCTCTAAGCATTTTAAATTCTAAAACTGAACTTGGTCGTTTATCATTGCAGCATAATACCTACATTTAAAGATCAATAATATAGTTAATGAATAGACTCGAATCAGGAGATGAATAACTGCGTCCGTATGTTATAATGCTATTGAAATTGCTAATGGTAAATGAAATTCGAAGAAAGTCTGCTTATTAAAATAATTATTGGATATTGCTATTGATATTCTTTCGAACGAAGCTAATTTGACTTCATCTATCACTTTCTTTTAACAATAATAGGGCTATAAAAAGAAATGTTAAAATGAGACTTTATTCGAAATAATTTCACGTGGAATACGAATTAAGATATAATTACTTCATTCAGTACAATGTTGATAAAGTTTTTCTAGTAATACCATAGATAAATACGTAGTACGCGTTACACGTTAACCGCCACGTAGGTCACCGGTGACCTATGTTAGCGGAGGATTTGCCTTCAACAGCTTTCTGTCGGCAGTCAAAGGCTTAATAAACTGTCTCATACCTAAATATGTAAATAAACGTTCAAAATAAACCTTGTAGTTTCGAAATATTTCGCTCTAAAAATAGAGCGGAGGTATATACGATATACCAAGCCAGAGTAGAAAGTAAACATAATATCAATCAATAGTACGTTTTCCCCTTCAATATGCTTTATGTACACAAACTGGGATCTCTTCCCCACTTATTGATTTTGATCACATAACGTAAGATGACAAGTCTATTTCGTTCGCTTCTCTATTTGTACAATAATAAAAGTATGTAGGCATAGACTGCTTAGTTTTTTCTTAATATTATATACTTTCGCTCACAATTACCTATGTTAAATAAAAACTGATCAAAAGATGTTGCCAACTTGAAATAAATCTATTCCACCGTAGATTGTCTCATAGTGCGTGTAGTTTTGAAATTCTATTTGGATCTTACCCAAGATTTATTTGCGTCGAATATGTCTTATCTTAGATAATTATAATATATTATTAACCAAATTGCTGATTACCCGTTCAACTATTTCGAAGTGAATATAAACAAACAGCCATTTCTCTTTAAATACTTACGATATAATGGTGGTTATTCATGGTACTAAGATTCTATTATTCCTATTATATGTATGTATGTATACTACAATACTCGTGTATTACTTAAGTCAACATGTAACTATTAGTTGGTTATGCTCAATGAACCGTCGAAAGCTTTGGAGACAAAGGCACGCCTGTTTAGTGAAACCCGCTCTGATACTGTAACCGTATCGAACAAAGCCGACATTAATTTCACTTTTACCGACCACTGAGTACGCTTCACTAATCGTCGTAAACACTTCGATAGATTGAATTACCGACTTTCTTTGCGTGAAATATGATAAACGTTTGTCGAACACGTGGTTGGCCATTTGAGAAGGCTTCGGTGATCACAATACCTTTTCACAAAACTTTTTAATTATTAATTTTACGGTGGTTATTTCATTAAGTGCTACGAAGAAGTGAATCTTAAAACATCACTATTTTCTTTATAACATTGAATCGGTTGAATATACTGTCACACTGTCATGTAACAGAGTAGATAATAATGCTGAAGGAATTGCTAAACTTAAATGTCGACACGGACATCGAACTTGAGATTAACGATAACAATAACTGAACTTTTGCTATCATCAAGCACTATAAATAAAATGTACACAATAATTACACATAATAAGAATAAAAGAATAATAAAAAATCACGAGATTCATTCTCGGAAAATGTTTCCATTGCAAACGCAATCTGATTGGAAATACCTCAGCGTTTTGACACAATGGACAAAAGAAATTTGTCGCAATTGTGATGTAGGCAGTAGATTTGGTAGTGCATTCGTAGAGCAGTAAATTTCACTTTAGCAAAACGAATCCTTTTTTAA